TTACTACGACCCAAACAAACGCGATAACATATAAATGGTTTGTAAACAATGTTTGTGTGTTTTGGGCTCAATTATTGCCTATTCTATCTATCACATTTTAATCTATGAACGCTCTTATGTTGTTTTTTATAATCGCTTTTTGGTTGATTGATTGATTAATTTAATCTCATGACTTTCATCTGACATTTATACATGTATTTTTTATCTGACTGATAAAAGATCATTAATCAAATTCACTATCATAATTGTTTTAAGCTTATCGGTTTTAGACCTGTCGTTTATAAAGACTATCTTTGTAGGTAAATTATCTATATAAAAGGCCGTGTCAATATTTTTGATACCTTTCAACATTTCTTGGTGCAAGAATTTCTGTTTTAGTTAACATAATTATATATTTATTTAATGAATTGGGCATAAATAGTTAAAAGTTAAGTTAACAGTAATTTCGATGTTAAACATTTTCCTAAAAAACAAAAAAGAAAGAAAATGAAGAAAAGAGACACAGCACGCACATCTATTTCTATTTATGATAAAAGAAATTAATAATAAGCCATTCAAACCAAACTCTGCTAGGTTGTCATAGATACTGAACTCTTGATTTATTTTTAAAGGTAATCACATATTTTTAGATCGAAGAGGATATTTGTTTGTTTGTGTGTAAGATGAATTTTTTTCATCGAGTGGGCTTTAAACAGTTTTCTCACGAGGCGCGTAGCCACATTTAAAAGTTCATTAGATGAAATAAAATTGCATCTTACACAACAAACAAACAAATGTTCTTTTTATTTTATGCTTAAAAACAAGTTAAATCGAAATTTCCTTATTATTAATTTAATATTAAAATCTGTTTACCCCATTGGTAGCCTCATTTTAGTCGAATTTCTCATTAAATACCAGAAGTCTTTGGCTGAAAAATAATTTCGACTATCATCGTTAAATGGGGGTGATATAATTCATTTTATTCAGAACATATGAATGATCCATTCTTTTAATAATAAAATCAAACAATTCTAGAAGAAGAAAAAGTCACACCATCCGACCTTTTTTTCCGTTACTTACTGCGAATTTATATTAGGCATGGCTTTGTGAATGTAAGCGGCCGCCATTCTTAAAAGTGTATTTCACAAGAGGAAAATAATTGAGGGATATCATTTGGATTTGTTAGTCAAACACCTTTTTGGAAGAAAGAAAACTTATTTGAGGATTGTAACAGACAATAAATAAGTGTTGACAGATGTGTAAACATCCAAAAAGCGGCTAGGGCATTGGAAAACATGGAATTGTTGAACGGCTGTCTTACAAATGCTGGGTTGTTTACTTATTCTTCGGGCTGATAGCTTTCATTGCTTTTCAAGTTTCCATAAAGCATGCTCGTAGGATACTTAAATATGCACAAATGTCATCAAGATCTGTTTTGCATGTGGGAGGAATGTATATTTCAGACTGTATAAATGAAACAAAAAAATTAGAGATGATATTTGGTGATTAGTAATTTGAATGAATAGTAGTAAATTTTCTTCTTTTTATTACTTTTGACAGTTAAGTTATTTATCAATTTCAGCTTTGCTTTTGTTTAAACAGCCCTGAAATTGTCAGAATTGTCAGCAAAAATAAAATTGAGGTACCGCATGGGGAAAATCTTAAAAAGTAGCCTCGTCATTGAAAAGTGTGAAATCACATTTTGATAATTTTCACTGTGAAATTATCAAATATAATTTTCACGGATAAAGCATTAATCCACTGAAAAGCATAAAATAAAGTTTAATATTTCTACAGAACATAGTGCAGTGTGAAATAACCCTAAACAATTAATACATCGACTTGAACGACTTGAAATGGGGCGGACGTGTCTTTCTTTGCGTGAGAATAAAACCAGAAAAAATGTATTTCAAAATTTAAAAAAAAACAAAAAAAAAACACAATGTCGATACATATTCCAAATTGATTTAAATGAATTTGGACTTGTTATTTTATCAGAGTTAATGCCGCTTAAACAACAACAACAAAAAGAACCAGCAAAATATTGGTAAACGATGGAAAAAACAAGTTAAACAATCAAAAATTGCAAATCGTAGACAAGTTCGCCATTATTTTCTGACAAAGATGTCAAATTGGCCATGCGTGCGAGACGCTGACGTATGTAAAACACATAAACATCGGTCAACGAAACAGTAACAGTACGTTTAATGATCATAGTCCAGTTATGCCATAAGGAATAACAACACAGACTTTTGCTTATATAACTCAAACGCCAACGGGGCAGATATGCCTGTTGATGCCAAAAATGAACCTGTTAAAAACAACCAGTTAATAGAATAAGTGCAAAAGTGTCGGATATTGAAGGCAAATTTAATACAATAGAGTCTCGAGTTGATGAGGTAGGACAGTCTTGATCATATATAAATTCTGTATCAGAGATTAAAAAAAACCGAGCTGTGAGAAGCGAAAAAGTAAATTCATTCTATAAAACATGCAAACATTTAGAGTCAAATGTTCAGCAATAAAAGGTTGAACGAGATAAAATAAAAGGTAAGATAGATGACTTAGAGGCTAAGTCAAAGAGGAAAAACTTGTTAGTTTACGGTTTAAAGGAGGATTTGGCTGAAGGTCGCTCTGAAAAGACAAAAGATTTATGTCGTGGAAAACTCATTGTTTATGCCTAACACATAATTATATTCAATCGTGTTCATGGAATCGCGAACAATTTTGCAAGTAAACCACGAACAATAGTAGTAGGCATACATTTTATGTCGTCCTTGTATTTCATAAATGCAGTTTATGAGAAGGGAGACGAACCTGGCATGTCATAATGTTCATATTTATACTAGTTTTTTTCCCTTTTCAGTCAGGTGTCTTCATTGAACGCCGTATTTCCGTTCATATTTTTGCGGTTATGCTTTTAAAAGAATTGCCATCACAAAGTTTAATTTAAAATCTTATAGTCCCACCCTTAAGTACTGACAATTGTGCTGCTTGGTACATACATGAAAGCCGCAAGTCACATCATCGCCGTCGCTATCCACGAGGACAAAGGTTTGTAGAGATCAGCCTCAGAAGGCCGTGCGACCTCAGTCGGCCAGGAGGCCAATTGAACTTTCTCAAATAACGTGATGATTGAACACCTAATTGCGCTTTTCTGTTGTGACTTTTGTAAATATTCCTTTTTTTTGTTGAGTGCTACGGAATGGATATATTTTATTACATAGCTATGTAGATTTGATTAAGATCACATTTTTCCGGAATGAAATTTTTATTAGAAGTCGCAAAATATATAACGCTTCTTAGCAATTTAAATGAACGTTCAGATATAATCTAGCAAAATTAAAAAAGACGCCTATATAAAGCACATCTTCTGTATTTGTTTTTTTTTCTTTTGAAGATAGTTCTTACATTTGTTTACCTTAGAAAAAAGCTTTAAATTGTTTTCATTGTCACCTAAACTTTGCGCCATAGCAGTGAAAAGTTGATAGTAGGTCTTTCCCGGTTGATTTTAAAGAAACCTAATCTCCTGGTATTATTTTATTGAGAATTAAAATCAAAATCCTGTGTGTTACGGATTTAATTTGCGGCGCGCGCTCGTGCGCGCGTATGTGTGTGTGTTATACCTTATTCTGCTGTTAATATCATAGTATTTTAACCTTATTAAGAATGATGGGTTTTTGAATACAGTCAAAATATTGAATATGTACATAACGATTTTTTGTCGAACACATTTATCTGTCAAAAAATACGAGGGTGTCCCAGAAGTACGTGGACTTTTTTGCTGTAACTCAAAAACTACTGAAAATAAAAACAAACAAAATTAACATGAACAAAATGCAACTTTATTGCATAAGTACAAGAAATTTCAAAGTTGTCCGGCAACTGGATCAGTGTCTGTGGGCAGGGTAATGAGACAAGGGGTAGCGGGTGCGGAACTAGATGATTTTATGCATTCATAAGAACACGATGTATTAGCACATTAAGGAAGATATTGTTTTATGAACATGTTTAAATGGATAATATAAACACCTAGTCTTTGTTTCCATTTATAAATATTATTAAGATGACGCAACCAGATTACAAAATTTGACACGTTGAACACTCAAAACGGGCAAAGAATAGAACAAAAATAGGACTTTCAATTTGTTTCTAAGTATATGTCTTGATAATCTTGCGCATATATTTCTGTTTGAAGTACCCTAAAGGATATAAGAAAGAGATTTAAGAAATGATGTTAATGACGATTCATATTTGAACAACCCACTTATTCTTATGTAGTTAAACAAAATATTGTGTGATTAAAAATCAAAATGACCGACTATCAGACCGACCGACCGACCGACCGACCGATATAATCCATAAAAATATATAATGTTCTCTATCGCAATAGATTTCGCTTAATGATTTATGTTAAAAATGTTATGCTTATATAATGATAAACAAGTGTGACCGAGGAGTAATCCGGACAAACTTTAGATAAAAATCAAAATCATCTAAGGTCATAATTCTGACAAAATTACTGAATCGGATAATGCCGACGTTTGTACAACTAGGCTTGATACTGATCATTCCTGTAGAGTTTAGAAGCAGTTGCGCCAGAAGTTGCTGATGAGTAAATTTATAATCCAGACAAGTTTTGGGATAGTCACATAGACGAACGGACGACGGAGAAGTTATCCCTACATGTGGTCACCGCCACTTAGTAGAAGGCGACACAGAAACTCTGTCATGTCCTGCCAAACTTTGCAATGCCAAAAATAAATTGTATAAATGCACATTAATAATTGTAAAGGTATTGTAAAAGAGTACTAGGCTAAATGTCAATAATACAAAACATTTGTTAAAACTTGTTTAAGAATTTAAATCTCTTTCCTTTTTCAAATACGCAAAATCATGTTTAAAACTGTATTCTTGTTTGGAAGTTAAAGATAACAATTTGTTAGTTTAAATGCCTATTTGATAAAAAAGAAGATAAAAACAGTTGTTTGCACTTATTTGTAAATAGTACTCCAGCGGTTGTATCTGTTGATACAACGTCGCTATCACATTCAACTAAAGGACCTGGAAGGAAACCCATGAAGAATTACATTGCTGGCCAGTAGTGTTGATTGCCATAATGTTGTTGCAACTAAGACTGTTTTCTTTGGCATTATTACTTTTTGGAATACTTCAACTATCTGGTAATCAAAAATTTAATATTTATTTCTATTCCTTTTATCAAAAATAAGGTTAATTTTGATACAAAACCCACGGTAGGACATATTGTTAAAAAAAGGTATATTATGTTTACAACAAATTCAAAACAATTAATTTCCTTTTCAAATTATACATATACATATCCGTTACATATAAGTGACACCATTGTAAATAAAAACTTACTAGTATCAAACTAAATTTTAAGAAACATTACTTGGCTGCTACTGTTAGATTTCTTCCTTTAAAGCATTTAACACTAATAATGTAGTGCAAAACTTTATTGTTAGCTCACCAGGGCACAAAGTGCGATAGTGATCATTCGGCATCAGTTGTCGGGCGTCTGTCCGTCCGTTCGTCCGTCTACGTTTTTTTAAAAATATCATTTCCTCCTAAACCGTTTTCCTTAGCAACCATTACTCCCATTGTTATATTGACTTTCTATAGATACCAGTGACATCCCATATAAACCAGTGGCTACCATAGTAATCATTGATTTCCCTTAGTAACCTATGACTTCAAAAGCAATCATTGACTTTTGATAGCCACAATAATTTGTTTAAGCTGTTCTTATCTTACTGATATGAGTGATACAGACAGAGTTTTGTCGACTATAGTTCAACATGTTACAGAATTCCTTGAATTAGATTTAACCCCAGTGACCTCGTTTTTGTTCTTTACAACTATGAAATTTAGACTTTGAGATGGACTTTGTAGACCATTTCAGATTTGAACTTTGAAACAGATTTTGACCTTACATTCATAGTTATCGATATTAAATCGTCCTTTGCCATTTAGAGCTTTACTAGTCTTGTGAGAGATATAAGGGCTATGATGGTCTTCCTAAATTCTGAGATGTTATATAACTGATGTAACTTCATAGTAAATCCAAATAAACTACCGGCTCTTTTGTTGAGAGCTGTTTAGTTGTTAATCATTTTCCGACCGCTTAATTTGTTAAATTCGTTATCAGGAGTTTTCTGCATTATTTTAACATTCCTACGTTACGGGATATATCCGGTGATTATTATTTTATGCTTAGTATAAAGCGTAGGAGTTTCACGACTTTTGGACGTTTTCGGGAGTTTTCTGAAACATAAAGACATAAAGGCAGATTTAAAATGTTCAATATAATTCTTTTTAACTTAGCATGTTGTTATAGTATGACAACGGAAACATTTAAAGCGATTTTTTACTTATTTTCGAATAAATCATTTCTGTTTGAATAATTGTAAATAATTTCAAGAACAAATAAAGATCTCATTTGTTTTTTCTTCTTCTCTTGATTTGTGCTATTTTTCTTCTTGAAAAAAATGACCTTTGATTAAAGAATTATATGTCCCTTTATTCAAACTGAAAAAATAATAACATAAATTATTTATGTATATGCATGTAATAATGTATTGTGATAAACAATGAAAAAAGTATAGCCAGACGTAAAAACAAGACTTTGCAGACATTTTTTGTTGTTGTAATATCTGCCCTTGAAATGACGTTAAGTAAGTTAATAATTCTTAATCAATGATTGATAACTCAAAAGTGAGGTTTTTGAGACCCAAGTTTTTCATCATATTCTAACAACATGCCACGTTTAAAGAAACTTTGTGGAACAGTTTTAAATTTGTCTATATGTCAATGAAAACTCCCCAAAACGTCCCAAAGTCGTGAAACCGTTGCGCATAAGATTAACTAAAACATAATAATCCCCTTATATCACGTAACTCAGTAATGTTTAAATAATGCAGAAATGGTGCACAAATAACGCTGAATTTTGGACATTTTTTTAGAAAATGACCACTTCTTATATTGAAAGACCGACATATAAGTATATCAAATTAAAAGAAATGAATTAACCTGCACGGCTGCTTGAACATTATATTGTTACTCTCATAGCAAACATTTCCATGAACTTATAAACTTTGCTTTTTTCGAAATTATTTGTAAGAAAAACGTTCTCTCGAATACAAATTTCTGTTTCGCTGACATTAATTAGTACAATAACGCACATAAAAGGCTTTTTCTTAAGTGTGTGTCTTTCCGTTATACCTAACACATTTTCCGAACTTATATAGCTTCCATATCCTGTTTCATCCTTTCTGACATTTTACACAATTTGGCATTATCTTACTAACTCTGCATTATAGGATAAAAGTGCGATGAATTGGTGCATAACTAACCAAAATAAACTTTCTGCACAAATATTACTTTCAGTGACAGTATAGTTTGTTTTGAGTATTAGGCCGTTTTGTCTCATTTTTAGGTCATTTACTGGTAGGCAGTTATTGTAACCATTACAATTATATGATGTGTACCAGTCCTCACCTGTTCTTCTTATTATATATTATAAGTAAGATTTGTGCTCTCGAACCCATGATCCGTCCTAGACTGCGTGCCTACGTGCGGTCTTATATCAAACTTATATTTAACATCAGCTATCTATAAAAAGCTAATATATAAAAATAAATAAATAAATAAATAAATAAAAATAAATAGATAAATAAATAAATAAATATATAAATAAATAAATATATATATAAATAAAATAAATAAAATAATAAAAAATGAAATTAAATAAAAGTTAATACATAGATAAATAATAAATGAAATAAATAAATAAATAAATGAAAAAAATAAATAATTAAAATAAAATAAAAATTTATGAATAAATAAATAATAAACAAATAAATAAATGAAATAAATAAATTAATAAACAATCGAATAGATAAATAAATACATAAATAAATAAATAAAATATTAAAATAAAATAAATGAAAATAACTAACAATTAAATTTATCTTTATGTTCTAGTATTTATTCATAGAAGCCTGTCACTTATTTCCCTAAAGCATATTGTATATTTCATATTGAAAGTAAGCCTGATCATGTATTCCCATAAAATTAGTTTTATATAAGTATAAAGTATTCCATTTTTAGGATAGGAATACTCTTTTATGTTCAAGTATGCATTTGACAGCAAATGTCAACTTCAATGTTTTTTTTTAATTAATAATAGTCTTATCTTTGGCCCTGACATAAAATAGAATCTCATCAAGTTAAGTATCTATATATATTTGTCAAGTGAACCAATAAAGTTCAAACAATAAATACATTTTCCCACAAATTAAGATATTAAAAGAGATTTCGTGGAGGATGAATCAGAACTTTACATTTTGTTGTTAATAAGACAACTTTGATGTTTCAAATGTAATTACAGTAAATATTTTCTTAACATAATGCGTTATATATGAATTTTCCCAGATTTTTAACAGTAACACAATGATATTTCGAAAGCTCAGTAAACTTTATTACATTGGGTCCTTAATTAAAATATACTTTAATGATTTTTTTCTTATATTTGCCAACACTGGACATACCATGACAAAATTATTTTCGTCTTCTATATCTCTATTGCTACAAAAATACAATATCGCCCATTTCTGTGGCGAAACGACCTGTTCAATAACTAACTTGTTTGATGATATATATTGAACATGTAAATCTACTCGCAATGCTTTTTTGTATTCTCATTTGAGAAATTTGTTTTGCAGAGAAATTTGTTTTGCATTGTGTAATCAACCATTAATATGCAATTTGAATTTCAATTGCCCGATACTATTCTCGATAACAATACACGTAGTTTCAAGTGAAAATACAAAACAAAACAACAACATTATTGTTCTAACTCTATTGGATATCTATTATATTATCATTATTATTCTATTTAATATATGTTACATTGTCATAACGTGTAAGACTTATATGTATATTGAATAAATGAATATGGTTAAATATTTAGGTGCATGCAATAATGGGGATACAGTTTGGCAAGCGTGGTCACCTTGCACAAGAAGTTGTGGAGGAGGAACACAACGCAGACATGGCGACTCTTGTTTTTGGGGAATAGATGATGACGAGGATAGGAATTGCAATGAATTTTGTAGACATGGTCATCATTATTACAACGACAGGTGCCATTGTCCGTCATGGAGAACAGGAACATGTTGTGAAAGTTTGTATTCTACATACGGTTTTGTCGATTATGAACGTATTTGGTATGACAATATCTCTATAAACAGAGTAACGTTTCTGATCATTTTCACTATATTTGGTTATAAACATTTTAAATTGCCGACATTTATACATAGCTAACTGCATGGTTTAAAACATTTTAGATTGCCGACTTATATACATAGCTAACTGTATTGGAGACAACAAAGAATGTGGAGGAAACCCTGACAACATCAGATGTACGAAATGTTATGATCCTTACTACTCAGGAGGATATGGTGCTGGATGCTTATGTAAGTAAACATTTGTTTAATTTTTGTTTGTTTGTTGTTTTATTTCATGTTCTTTTTGAATGAATGGAAATCATATATTTATTTTTGCTGTTTAATTACAGTCTGGCATATTTGTCTTGTCTACTGTACACTGATTTTGCCATTGTTCAATGAAGGATATATTAATCAGTGATTTAAGTAGTAATATGTATATTTGTGTACAATTATACTCGTACTCTATTTACATTGATGCATGATGACATGTCGGGTTCAATCAAATGTTGATATGTATTTGAAGTAAGGAGAAACATGATAACACGTTTTTGGGAATTGCGTTGATATTCTAAATTATTTTCCAATCTGATTCATCTAATATTATAATGCAGATGATTAATTCGAAATTATTTAACATAAGTTTACCAATAAAGTGAAACTGATTTTGCTTTGAATAATGCCGGTATTGATATGAGTCAATAAGCAAAATAGGTTAAATGGTTTGCGTAGTAAATTTAATTGATCATTTTGTTGATATTATGAAGATGTTAATTTATAGAATGACTACGTTTTTGTGTATAACAATATGCAGTGATTTTAGCACATACGTTTATAACCCATATTCTGAAATTATTTGATCCTTGACAAATAGACACGTGTTTTCCAGAATGAAATGTCAATGGTCTTTCCTAGTTGGTCATATCACGTGAAAAAAGGATACTTTTAAATGTTTGGCTATGGACATATTGCCAATTTCGAGGTTTTAACTCCTGTATAAATATATGATTCATTATGTACTCACACTGACATATACACTTTAGTTGTACTTTTAAATGGATCCTAGCTTGTTGTGATAAAACTCTCATCTTGTAAATGCATTGGTGTTTGCTATGGAAAAACTTCCCCATAGATTAATGAAAAGTTAAAAAGGTCACTTGTGTTCATGGGAGAAACAGTCAAAGGAAGGCTTACCTACCATTTTAATCTTTCTGAATGTTGAAAGGGTATTTAAGGATATTTTTATAAGTCATTCACAAACATATATTTATTACTGAGTAGGTCTAGATATTGTCGACAGACACATCATGTGCATTATTTATTGATTAAAATATAAACTTAAAGTAACAGGTTTATAATAGCTTAAGTACATAAGAAATAAAACAGGTTTTTTTTTCATTTTTCTTTATATCACAACATGCGGAGATGTTAGATTAGCTTATCGGCGTTTCTTCGGGTTGAACAGTTTATATATATTGATTTAAAAAAACAACTCAATGACATCTCATAATATAGATATAAAACATAACAATCGTTGTTAATACAATAAGCAAAATAGAATGACTTAGGTGATATTTTAACATTTATTATTTACTTGAACAATTATTGAGACAAAAAGAGATGTAGGTGACACATTAGAAATTTTACTAAGAATAAATGTGAAAGGGAAATGTAGAAACATACCGTTGGTCTTATGGCAATGCTAGAAAAATGTACCAGAAAGTATGCAAGAAAAGTACACATACGTTCGGTTGTTTTGACTGCTTTCTCGTTCAGGGCACCTGCATCATCATACGTCGCTATTTGTGGAACGAAACGACACGAACGTGTCACATTGGAGGTTACATGACCCTGTGTATGAGCTAATCTGTGGCCGTTTCTTAATACAAAATAGGCAATTTCGGGTTTAACTGTTGAATTGTTCTTCAAACGGTGCCAGCAGCGTAGACGGTGACATAAACTTACCATTAGGCTCTGAAACATCTTTTCAATTTTGCCGTTTTTTTGCGTCCTTTGGGGATTCCGTTTCCCTCTATTTTCTTCTACAAAATTCTTCTTCTCTATTTTCTTCTGATAATCAATATATAAAAAAAAGTTTGTTTGTTCAGATTTTATAAGTTTCTCCAGTGGTACTTAACTATCTACGTGAAGTAGCTTTGAGATATGAAGGAGATAAAACATGTTCTTATTTAATTTAGATAAGGTGCTACCCATAAACATAAAAGGAAATTTTGATTGACGTTAAGCGATACATGTGAAAAAGCACACTTGTTTCTTTCTTCTTTAAATAAATGTTATCGTCTTGGATAGAATAACTTATCTACTGCCTAAACTTGTTAACCACAAGTTTTTTTTGTATAAAATTAATCTAGCTTGCCCTTAAAATAACTTACAATGATTTGGTTTAACTACATGTATTTTAAATTTTATTTCAGTAGTCAATATTTCAATTGCTTGTCATTTAGTTCCGAATCTTGTTTCTTAACCACATAAAGAATTTTAATTATCACTTCATGAACACCTTTGTGATTATTATTATTATTATTCTGTTTATTATTATTATTATTATTTTTATTATCATCATTATTATTATTATTATTATTATTATTATTATTATTATTATGGCAGCATTTGATAAATAGTAATATTTGAAATGCATAGTATAAGTTTTAGCAATTGATATTTCTATATATTAATTAAATTATATAGCAGCTCTGTTCTCCACAAATAACATGCAACTCCTCCACATATATCAGAATTGAAGAATAAAATATACACGTGTAACAACAAACAAACACCTCTCCTAGGCCCACGCTCAAGAACCCATTTCTATAACTCAAATCGGATTGGCTTACTTTGTGAATGGAGTTGAATGTTAAATTAAATAGGGTAAAGTTAATACATTGACAATTAATACAATATCGCTAAAGTATACCTTATACTTGTTAAATTTAAAATGAAAATGAAAACATTTATTCCACTAGCTTGTCTCGAACCATACCTAGCGCCTAAGTATATGAACTGCTTCGGCATACCGATTGCGCTCTAGCTAAATAAATGGTTGATACAAATTCACTCTGAAATATTTTATATCGGATCTGCTTTCGCTTATTTATAAATCAGTCAATTTGTTAACGTTAAAATGTTTCGTGTTATAATTGAACAGTTGCTGAGTGTTCTTATATAATAAAATCTGCCGTGCATTATTTTAATCATAGACCGTTACTTAGTTTTATCCTGGATTTAAAGAGTCACGAGGGGCAGCTTGATACATTTACTCATAAAGATAATATTTGTTTAAATATATTTGCTTATCAATTTATCACAGGTATTATAAACTTAAAAATTAAACATTTCATGTCACATTATTTATTATTAATTTATCAAATAATCCTGAATAGTTTTCTCAGTATGATATGCAATGTCTTCTTCCTTAGCAACACATTGGTATCTTAATAAATGATGCCCTGAACATATTTTTAAGACACTGGCAAATATCTTTGGATAACATAAACACAATATATTAGAAAACCTTTTACGAGGGTTGTTCAAAAAGTAATAGGACTTCAGCTCTACAGTTCACATTTTAAATATACGTACATAATTTTACAAGAAACAAATATCGGAATATGTTCTCTATATACAGTGTAAAAATCAATACAAGATGTTTTCAAATAGCAATTCTGTGAAATTTTCGAATGACAAGTGGAACGAAACGCGGCCCACGCTGACAATAAATGACGGTTATGACGTATACCATGAGGAGTTCCCGATTATATATGTTAATTGATTGTATGATGTTTGTTCATCATAATAATTTTAAAACAGAACAAACATGTGTTCTGGTAACAGTATATATGATATAATGCTTAATGAGAATAAAAGTAAAGAATAATCAATCATCTTTGCTCATTCAAGCATCACATACTAACACTAGAAATTTAGACTGTTTTTGGTTTTGAATAAACACAAAGAACAACTATGGTAAGTATTGTAACTAAATTATTTATTTGACATAAATTATTTCAAACAAGCCCTTTCATCATTCAATGAGTTATAACATCTTTGATAAGCTTTTCATATCAGAAACACCGTAATACTATTTTGACAGATAACTTTCTCTCAGACATAACAGATATCCTCTCGTAAAGATATTATTACTAATATTGCAAGCTTTCACGCACAAATCAAATATTAAGCGCTAATTTAATAAAACAATTGACCCATAACACGCTTGCTGGTTATTTTCCATGTGAACTGGTGTTAAACTGTATGATGGCAATCATATTTTGCAAAAGTAAGATGTGTGTTTTTCTATATATTTCAAATAGTAGTTTTTGACAAAGGTTTCACCAGTTTATGTGATACTGATCATTTCGTAAGTGTGATAAAAAAAACTGTGTAACGTGGTGTAAAACAAACAAAATTAGTGACACATGATGTCTTAAAGTGACATTATGCCCATTCAAGGGTTTACAGTGAGTGAACTGGTGAAAGTCAAAATAAGTTTTTATATATAGCCAAAATTCCCTTTCATTCACGAGTCTCTTCGATTTTGATGCAAGCTATATGTTAAAGCTAATTAGAGTGTATATTTCAATTTCTTTTGATTTTTATCGTTCAAAGAATGTATTTGGTATTTCAATAGCTAACACACACCAATTAAACTGACAGTACATTATGTTAATTAACCCGGAAAACAGTTATTTGTACTGAGGCGTCAACGTAACTATTAAGTCCCTGCATCTAGTGTTCATATTACTTTCAATTGTTTCGATGGAAAAGAAAACGTTAAAGAAGCATGCCTCCAGATTCATGCTAATTTTCATGAAAATTTCGAAAATGTATTTAAAAGTAAAATACTGTGAAGTGAACAAAGAAAGTAATTTACAAATTGCAAACGGAACTAACAATCCCCGTATCTTACCAAAAAAGAGGTCAAAATATACATAAGTACCTCTTACCTCGTTAGTAACGCAATAGAATTATAGTGATTGATAGTGCAAAATCAATCATTAATCGCACAAAACCTGTAAATTATTAATCAAATATTAAATCTTTTTACTTTTCTTAAGATCTTAATACATTTTCCTAAAGATTGCATTTCGTGCAATATTTTGGATAAACTGGAGGCATGCAGCAATATACCCAAACATAATATACATTATAAATATTAATTTTAGAGCTTCCAAAGCTGACGTATGTGACCATTTTTTAAATTTGTATTTAACATAAATAACACAATGTTTTATCACACACCCGTGCCGATTTTGCGACTCCGTAAATATGGTATTGCACGGCCGTGCATATATTTTGACGTGACGTCATTAGCGTTATGCAAGCATAGTGTAAAGTTAGCGTTATACTATAGGCGCGTCAATGAAAAATGACTCTTATTTCACTTTAAACGGTCTTTATTTTTGGTATGTGATAAATAGAATATTAAATTCGTGTAAGTTCATTACTGAATTAGCACTCGTTGAATAAAATAATATTATACTCGCCAGAGGCTCGCATAATATAACTTTATTCAACTCGTGCAATAAATTTAGTATTGAACTAACACTCATTCAATATCCTCTGTATATGCTATATAAATGTAAATCTTTTCTGTATATGTAATCAGCTTTGAATTAATAGTTACGCTACGCAAATAATAAAGCTTGTCCAATGGAGAAGGAATTAACACAAAAATAATCGTTTATGTAAAGGTTCTTTATTCATGAAGCAAATGACTCCTTACTATTGTTTTTTTTTACATTTAGTGTGTCCGAGGATAACAAACTGCATCAACAATAAACATCATTGTACAAGTCCATACGATACGAAATGTCTGAAATGTGAAAGTGATAATATATTTTACAAAAGGACACGTTCGGGAAAGCAATGTGAACGTAAGTAATTATCTTTGACAATAATAGGCATAAATAACACAGATGTAGGCGACTTTCCAGCTTAACTGGTGCAGGAGGACACAAGATGCCCCTCCTTGCATGATTTCAGGCACGGATGGGCACCTAAGTACCCTCGTTAGCTAGATGGATAGCTTCCTCGCATGAAGAACACAAAGTGTTTGAAGCAACAGTAAATTAGGGGCGAGAGGTTTGAATTCAAATACCTTAACCACGGACGGTCCTATCTACATAACTGCTCGAATTGTTGATAAGAAATTGATTTGGATAAAACTTAGAATAATTTAGTAACAAGAAAATCCTTATCTTTCATATTTAATTCATATCATCATTAGCGATCGTTTAAAGAAAAGTTTTACTAATCTATTTACATTAACATAATTGTTTCGTTTGCTGATTTGCAGGTATGTGCTCATTCGACACCCATTCTTGTTGGCCTGGCACGTGTCAGGATGAGCTAACTACAAGTTGTAAATGTGCTCCAGGATTCTACCCAGTACAAAATGGAACCCATACAATTTGTCAACGTAAATATTATTATCTCATACCTCATCTTGTTATAGTCTGATTTCATTGACGTGTCAAATATGCATTATGCAAATACACTATAGCATTCATTTAAAATTTCGATCCCACTTCCTTTCTGTGTGTGTATTTTACGAATGTGGAATATATTACTAATGTTTTGAAAAGCCATACTAGCTTAATGTAAAAATCGTCGTCTCACATCCACAATAGCATAGTCGGTAAAGTGATTGTCTAATACAAAAATGTCCCTCGTTCGAGCCCTACTGTTGCCATTGTTTTTTCTTTATTTTTGCAAAATCGACGATTGTCATATTATCTGCATTGATCAGTTTAATTAATATGCAAGAGACAGGTTAATAAAATCAAGCAATATTTATATTATAGCTTTTAAGATAAACTGAATCCTAATCATGATGATTTTTATTTTCAAAGCTTTAAACTGTATTTGTCTTCACTGGACACATTTTACATTAGTATTTTAAACATTGATTTAAACAATAGAAATGTTTCATTAAGATAGTCTTATTGAAAATTTCTCTTGAACGAAATGTTGATAGTTTTCTTAAAATTTAGTATGACCATTTATATGATGAATAATATTTTGTTCTAAAATCATATTATTTGCTTTATATTTCACTAACTCTTACAAACAACATCCATAAATTATTATGTCGTGGATTGGAATCGCTTATGACACTTAATATTATCAACACAAGTCTTTTGGGTATTATTGACCTTACATTATAGGCCAATTCATTAATTGATTTATTTAAGTGGAGGAAGACAATACCCCGTCAATTCTAAACTGTCAAACTGAAATTCGTGGGACAAATGGAGATGCTACACAAACAGGTGCAGGTCAATGTCAAGATCTTCCAGACTTGTATGGAAACTTTCTACCAACGTTGCTCTCATTTACAATGATGTCAGAATTTACGATTAACGTCACAGCTTGGGTACCGAGGCCAAAGTATATTCACGAAGAGAATTTTGGAATAACTGATACATCTGTTTCTACAAAACTAGTGACTATTCAAGGTATGTACCATTGTTTGACATTCAGTTTTAATTGGCCAACGCACAAGACACATCGGTAAAAGCGATGGATACAAAATTGATCTTTAGTCAATATACTTTAATTCAAAATATGTAAGAAAATGTAGAATGTTTTAGCATAAATGATCTTTACAACTCCGACATAAAATAGGGTGGTACACATGATATGTTCCTGTCAAATTTCCAAAACATTTGTCAGAAAATAAAGGCTGTATATGCAGAAGTGCAAAAATCCATTATAGCACAGGTGACCTTGACCGAAGTGACCACTTACTCCACCAAAAGTAAGAATATCATTCAACGTATATTCCTACCAATTGTGAAAGACATCCGTCAATTAATAAAAGCTGTAAAGGCATAAAATATGAAAATCTATTTTGAGCACCATAATCCTTAACCTACCAAAGTGAACCCTTGATAATAGACCACTTAAGGTATTTACCCATCAGATATGAAAAACGTGTGTAAGTAAATGACTTCAAAAACTTAAGTTTAAAAGCCTTTTTGTTCACAATGTTGACCTTGACCCGAGTCCTTCTAAACTCCTTCCAGTAGTGAAAACGAACTATGTAATCCTTCTTAATATGAAAGAGATCCGTCAAAAATTAAATGCTGTATAAGCAAGTATAAAAATATATTTTAGCATTTGTTTCATTGATCCCGACCCATATGAACACAAACTAAACAACCCCTGCTATCTCCCTTGCAATTATGAAATACATCAGTGAATATATAAACTCTGTATGAGAGAAAGTGTAAAAATATATGTTGACCTTAATCCTAGGGAATTCAAACAAAGATAGAGAACTACCAAATATAAGAGACATCGCTTGATAAATAAAGGCTGTGTAAGTAAAAGTTGAAAAAATAATGTCGTAAGGAGAGAAACTGTTGAAAAGCATCACGAAACTATGGAAATACGGAAGAACAAAGCGGAGGCAATAAACACTTGTTCTATGTCTGGCTTCATATTCTTATAAAGTTCCATAATATACACAACATATGTCGAAATCAGAGAAAACTTGTTATTTTTTCTTGAAGATCGTAACAAATTTGATTTGATATTTTAGAGGATAAATAAGGTGAGATAGTTAAATAATCCCTGCGCTATCTGTAACGAGGAGATATAAATCATGCTAAAACAAGTTACATCAATAAAGCACAACTTCTTTTGATGTGACGTTTACTGTATCGGTCTGTTTATTTAACATGTGGTATTTTTAATCTATTGGTGGGTTGACTAAAGCTACTTATTTCAAAATGACATGAGTGCACGATAAGTAAATCTTATATAAAAAAGTAAGCGTATGCGCAATTTTAAGAACCTGGTTAAAATTCAAATTTAGTTTTGACTGATAGTCAACATATCAATTCCGAAAAAAACATTCCCTTTCTTTTTTATTTGTGTACATTTACGTTGTGTGCATTCTGTATGCAGATACAGCTGCTTGAAGTATTGAATAAATTTTAAGACATACTCAGAAATAACATTATCGTTTCAGGATTGCTAGCGCCGTAATTGTTAGGCCAATGATACTATTGAATGTACCACACAATTGTTTATATATCTCTTTGAATAATAAAAGTTTATTAAACAATTTCTATAGGCAAAAAAGACCCCGAGACTATCGATAAGTTTATTCTCAAAAAGGATCAAAGAAATGGTCAAGAAGCAAAGTCGACGGTCGAAAACAAGAACAGTTATACTTTATCAGATACAAGATACAATCTAACGAATGGGCAGAGGTACGAAAAACATTACTTTTGAAGTATTAACTTGAATATATATTATTAAATATCCACTTGAAGTTGTTGTTTTTTCGATTGCATATTTAAAAAGTGAAAACATTTCATTTTTACAATATATATTTTTGATCACATTTGTTTTTACACAAAAAAGAGTAATTAAGTTCGGCGTTTTTCCTTGTTGGGTGGTTCCAGTATTCCTCACTTGAATACTGTTGAATCATCCTTAGGATATGTGGCCTGCTTTTAAAATTTGTCTTTTGACGTATTATCTGTGATATGCAGGCTTACTTTAATCTCTGATCCCCTTTCAAAATTCCATTTTATTTAGTTCCGTTTTCCCGTTTAGGGCACACGCATTCTTTTACCTGGGGGCCATGTGCCGTTCTTTATCGAATAGTACTTACGTGTCACATTGAAGGTTCCATGATAACCGCCATATCTGCGGATGTTTCAAAATTCCAAATTGTACCAATTTATGTTAAATATTGTATTCTGCTTAAGCCGGTGCTGGGGGCGTCGGCGGTAGTTTGTACTTGACAGTACCGTCCATGAACAGGCTCAATCAAACCGAGCCTGCAACATTTTTAATTTTGCTGTGTTGGACTTTCTTTAGGGATTCTTATTTTCTATATTTTATTGTCATAATTGTCATTTAAGTAATTATCGGAGAATTCCATTTTTCAGATTGTGTATTGAATTTGAAGCTTTGGGTGGCGGATTCCGGGTGACAAAAGATTTCGATGCAAATACTTTGCAAATTCCAATACCATATAAAAAGACAAATGCTAAAGAGACAATTTGCTACACTTTTGATGATGTTAAACCGAGACATTGTCTGGAAGATAAGGCATGTCCATATACAGAACCTTTAAATGTATTTAACCGAATAACTCGTTCGCCAGAAATAGAGTTGTTGTTTGATGGTTGGAATGATCCTATTCCTTTAGGTGGTAACTCTTCACATGCCTCTGGTATCGATTTGCACGAAATAAATGTGTATGAAGTATCAAATGGGACAGTTTCTATGCAAAACGCGGCGTATTCAAAGATACTTAATTCTAGTACTATAACAAAACATATAAAGTTTACGTTACAATCCAGTAATCCAAAACTTTATTGTGTTATATTGGGCGTCAAAGATGTTGCAAATAATGTTCAATATTCCCGGAGATTTTTCCTCTTTGATAACTCGTCTTACATTTCTGTTGATGATGGAAAATCATTAAAGGTTACTTCAGCTTCAAGTGATATGAAATTTAAATGGCAAACCCACCATAACAATATATGTATTGATTGGAAAAACTACTTTTATAACAAGTTATATTTAGATAACCCATTTCTAGGTAGAATCAATCCAGACTCAAACGGTCAAATTTATGGTATTTATGAACAAGAGGATGGCATTTTACCTGTGAACGGAACTGAAAATATATTTGGAATAACACAGTTTTATTTTCATATAGTCTTGACAATGGACCGATTTCTTCTGAAAAGCTAGTACCTAATTTTCAAACTCAAAGCTATTGTGAAACTTTAGCATTTAAAGACGGCCAAACGTATACCTTATATATCAAAGCCATAGATGTTATGAACAATAGCTATATCGAAAACAGAACGGTACATATCGATCGAACTGCTCCACACATCAACAACGTAGGTCTTATGAAGAATGGTGTGAAAAGCTTATTTGTACACAACGACATGGATCTTTCAAAAATGAATCTGTCATTTGATGCATTAGATCCACACAGCGGAATACTCAATATTGACTGGACATTTGGAATATTAGATTCTGGTGTAATTCTTGGTTTTCAGAAGAATGGTCCAGTTCACATTGAAAAGGTATTTATAGAAATGTGTTTTTCACAAATATGATTATTACGTGCGCATAAAACATAATGTGTATCTAAATGACTTCCAACATTTAGAAAAAAATTGACAAGCAATTATCATAGTATTGCAAGCCATCCATAAGTCCTCTACCGGTTAGAACCCCAGCAACATTCTAAAGTCATTGGTCATTATATTATGCCATTGAATGAATGAATGACATAATTGAACTTAAATCTTTTGAATTCATAGTTTTTCTATATCTTAGTAAGATGTAAGGTGTCCCTGTATACTAGTAGTAATAAAATTAGGAGATCAAATTTTCCAAGGATAAAAAGACTGACAGACAAACTGACATACACTCTGGGGGTAAATCTTTATGGACAGTAGATTTATAACTCTTGTCATATTATCGGAGTTTAAAGTGAATACTATAAAAGATGAAGAAATCAGAGTAAAACAATTGTTAAAGAAAAAATCTAAGTTATATGGGAACTCGGGAAATAGTAAAGCTAGACTTGTAACCCTTGTCACATATGATGTGGTTGATGATCAGAAACATATATTAAGAAATAAAGAAGTTGTATTGAAAGCGCAAAAACTTAAATCAGAAATCTTGACGAAGTCGCCGACGCTTGGTGAGAAAGACAGCTCTTTAGTAAAGATTGAAATGATGCGTATTATCTCCATACTGCCATGTATCCATATTTCAAGTTTCATAAAATGCTTTCACTACTTTTAAAGTTATTGTTATATTTGCAATATTTGTCATATACTATATTATATGTTATTTGTTGCCATAGCAACCAAACTGTGCAACATAGAGAGAAAGAAAAAGACGTGTATAAACATCAGAAAAGCAACTACCCATATTTCAAGTTCCATTAAACTATTTTAAGTAATTTTTGCGTATCACTGGATCCAGGTTATGTGTATATTCGCCATATTTTAAAGCTTTTTGTTGCCATAGCAACCAAGTTTTCCACATAGGAAGAACAGAAAAAGTAGTGCATAATCTCTAGACTGTTATCTACTTATATTGCAAGTTTCATAAAAAATATTTTAGTACTTCTTGCGTTATCACTGGATTCAGTTTATGTGTTAAATAAGCCACATTTCAGTCTATTTGTTGCCAAAGCAACCAGAGTTTTTAACACAGGAAAAAAAGAAAAAAATGTGCATAATTTCAAGACTGCCATCTATCCTCAAATCAAGTTTCATAAAAATATTTTCAGTACTTTTTGCGTTATTGTGGGATCCATTTATTTTGGACGTACGGACTGACAGACGGACAGAAAGACGGATCGACGGACGGGCAGACAGACAGAGGGTAAACGTAAAGTCCCCCGGTTAAACCGGAACGTGTCTAATAAAAGTTAAATGTACAACATGTATGTAAAACAAAGAAAATATTGCCGACAGGAAAAGAACTTGACCGTATATAATGAATTAAGAAATTGAACTCGTAAAGCTGACTGCCTAATAAGCTATAGTTTCTTAAAAGGAACGGCATATGTTTGTGTCAATTGTAAGAAAATATTATATCTCTTTTTTATCGATTCAGGAAAGCTGTACCAAGACCTTAGAAAAATGCTATTGTCCTCAAATTGGCAGTTGTGAGATTTTCGCTTACAATATACCATTGAATATACTTGTTAAGAACAATACGAATATAGGAAATCACAATCGGAATTACTTTTTCACTGTCAAAGTGACAAACAACGCAGGTTTATCAAACATAGAACACATGGACATTCTTGTTGACAATTCACCACCAGAAAAAGGCGTGGTTTATGAAGGTATAACATTCTTAAATTTTGTTTCACTTTAAATCTTATTAAAAAATAATAACAATATAAAAGTTTTATGAAAATCAGTTATAAATAAAGGGTACGTTAAAAGTGATAAAAGTTGTATAAGAAAACCGTGCTATATCTTTCAAACCGTAATACAGTTGCAAAAGTATATGTTTGTTTTCTAGGACCTGTTGGTACACCAGACATTGACTACACTAGTGACACGTCTTTTGTTATCCGTTGGCATGGTTTTATTGATCATGAGAGCGGCATTAAAGAATACAGAATTAAATTATCGGACACATGTGTAACAAAGGAGAAACTCTTAACAAATGATGGACACCAAAACATAAGCGAATACATTAAAGTACCTTATACCGAATCTACAACACGAATAAATGCGCATTTTACAGGAAAGAAATATGTAAATATCATTGCGATAAATAATGCCATGGACGCATCAGAAGTTGCTTGTTCCGATGGTATAACACGAGATGACACGCCTCCAGATGTCCAAAATGTACGATTGCAGCATGGAAAATGGTCAGAGTCTTTATTTTGTACGAGGGGTTATGCTTGGCACTTAAAATCTGATTTGAAGAAAATGATTTTACCAAATACCACTCTTTGCAACCAACGATGTAAGGAAGATAGTACCGGGTTAGATATATTCAATGTCCTTCCTATCAAAAAAAGATACAACAATGACACAAATGTAAGTGAATATTTGTGCAAACATCTTCCTATGTACGATACCGACAATGTGATCTACCTTCCTACTGACCATATTGAGATTTTGTGGGATATAAAAGAAAACGGTAGTCAAATTGAAGATTATTACGTCGGACTTGGTCTAAAATCTGGTAATAAGACATCAGCCTCTATTGTTGATTACAAATCTACCAATGGAAAGAGAAATTTCAAAATCGGACACACCGGTGTAGGGTCTGGAATTTTATTTTACGCATATATAAAAGCAGTAAACAAAGCAAAGACGGAAACAATTACAGTATTAGGTCCCATCCTTATTGATGAAACACCTCCGATTTTCAATACTAAACCAACTATTCGCTTGGGAACACATTTAATAACAATTGGCTGGGACAAAAGTACAGTTTACGATCCTGAGCAAAGCGATCAAGTCAATCAAATCTTTTTTCAAATAGGTATGAGTTATTTGACTTTTTCTTCAGATCCTTACAGACTTATCTACTGTTAAAATTTTAGGCTATTCATGATTTTATAAGTAAAATTGCATAAATATCGCAGTTAGTCATGTTTAATATCCTTGAACTATGAGACTTCATGTACTTGTTTTAAATGTCGGACAATGTAATCAATCCAAACTTTAAAACAGAAAGTTTAAAAAAAAACTTTTATATATTTAAATTAGTCAGTGATATTGTATATTTTACCTGGCTCATGTGACAATTGATTCTAATATATCTATTTAAATAGATTGAGTGATTTTAACCAGTGCCTTGACGTGAGAGAAATTGCACTTTTCTTTTTTCCGTGATCAAACTTAATCAACATAGTATGTACTTTTGTTGATTTGATTGCTTCCGAGAGATGAGGTCTTTTAAAAATCTATTTTGTTCATTCAATTGAATTTTAACATATATAGAGAAAGTTTTGATATTGATAATGCCTGACATAGATGGCGAATTGCCAATTATCAGTTTCTTTTCAGCTCATGATACTAATGTTGTATCTCCATTTTTGGAATGGCGGTTGGAAGATAAAAATTCTTGTTCAAATTTTTCCGGAGGATGCATTACTTATCCTTTAGAAAGGTTGCAAAAGATGGACACAGATTCAGGATTAAATTTTACAATAAAGGTGTTTGCATATAACAATGCCGGACACTTTGCAACAGAAGTAACAGAACCATTTAGGATCCCTTCACGATATCCACCAGGCTATGCGATAGTTAAAGATGTTGACCCTTTTGGTCATACGAGAACGCATATAAGGGACGTGGATGTTCATTTTACTACAAATAAACTTTGTACTGAATGGAATGGCTTTGCACACCACGAACATGTTGCTATAGAAATCGGTGTAGGAACAAATAACGTGACTACAAATGTTATCCCATATCAGGCCACAAATGGTTCAAATGTTGCATGCATTCAATCTAGGGCAATTGTCTTCAATATAAAGTACTTTATTCTATTGAGAGCTACTTGCTCTGGTGGAGAAACTATTTCTAGCTCAAATGGAGTCACCATTTTAAATGAAACAAATTTAACGGAAAATTTTAAAATTTGCATTGGGGTAGCCTTATTCAATACGGAATGGATTCCACAATTGCCACAAAATTCATCGCAAGCAAACTTCTGTGCTTCCAGAAATCTCGAGCTTGGGCAAAAATCCACTCTTATTATAAATGGCGTGAATAGAAATACTTTCGTAAAAGTGAATCAATATATGTTTATAGACGGCATTGAATACTTCAATAGCAGCATGAAAGTAGAAACTATTATTGTATCAGTCGAAGAGAAGCCATGCATAGCAATTTATAATGAGCCGTTGCGAAACATATCTGTCGAAACGTATCACAATTCCGATGATTGGAAAAGGTTTATGAAAGAAACAAATACATTTCCCGTTTCATGGAAATCCCACGAAAACACCTCTATTCTCCGCCATTTAAGATATAAAATAGCTTTAAGCAAACTAAGTGACGCTTTGCAGAACACACAACTTTACAAAGTTATTACGGATTGGACAAATGCAGATAGAAACTCATCGCATGTCATTCATACTCATTCACTTTCCCAGAGTAGTGAATACGCCATACTTATAAGGATATGTACTTCAAATAGATGTATCGCCCAAATTGTTTCCAAGACATTTAAAATAGAACAATCAATAGAAGCCGGACGAATAAGGTCATTTAACCTGGAGCTGAGCAATAAAAAATCGTGTATTGGTATTAATCTTGAGTGGGAAATGTTCCGAGCAAAGAGTAATATTTTAGTGTATCAGTGGTCAATTAGCAAAGATAAAGAAGCAAATGATGTTCTGGCGATATGGAGAACTGTATCTAACAACGGAGATTCGGTTTACAAGGTAAGAATTGTTACAAAAAACTGTTGGGTTAATTTGGTTTATATAATTTCTAACACATGACTTAAATAATGAAATATATATTATTCTTTTTCATATTTGTACAATTATGTGTCTTCAATTTTAGTTTGAAACTTAAACATTTTAACTGCATAATTGATTTTCCCCTTATATTTAGGTATCTATGTGTATAAAAGTACCCGTTCTCAGGCATTCTACACTATACCTCTGTGTAAGAGCATTTTCTACAGCTGGAAACACCAAAACAATCTGTAAGACAGCTTCAGTTGTTGTGGAAGCTGAATTCGATACAAATACTTTATATGACATAGATTCATCATTGCCGTCATGGAAAATAATCAAAGAGGTAACTCTTTAATTTGTACAATAGAGTTATCTGTTTTGAATACTCAAGTTCATTTTGAAAATATTATCTTCCTAAAATCATTCTTTTCGATACATCTCAAGTCATTCTTCTCTATATTTTTAAGATGATTGCATGAGACTTTCCAATCATTTCTTCATTATTTTTCTAATCTAACACAAGAGTGTTTCAAGATATAATTCTTTTAAATTTACCCCTATCATGCGATTGATCAGATGTTCGTTAAACGATCCATTTCCTTGTTGATCTTGTCTATCATATTGTTACCACATTTACATAAAAAATAAAGCAATTTGGTATATTCCCCCACCAATTTACGAATTATAAGATAAGCAGTATCTGTATAAAAAGCTTAAGCAATTTATTTTTATTTCACTTAGATGATACATAGTTCAAACATAGGAAGCAATAATGCAGTATTGCACAATTCAGAAATGGACTTTGGGAATACGAATACCTCAGTTGTAGGGATAATTATGTATGCAACAGAAAGAAAAGTAAACTGGTTCCTGATGAAACACAAGCACGTTCCGGATTTTAATCAATGTGAAAAGGATTCTGATTGTGTCTTTACAACACAAACACAAAACGGATTTGTTTTGTTTGACAAAAAAGTAATTGAGAAAAATACTTTTTATTACACATGCGCGTATTCAAATGCAAGCTCCGTTTCGCGTGAATTATTCACAGAAATGTTCTCCGAGATTCGTGTTTGTAGTAATGGTTTCATTATTGATGACACTCCACCGTTTGGTGGACATGTAACTGTATTACACTCTGGCGGGTTTATAACCAGACGCGGGGAACTGAACATCTACTGGAGTGGTTTCGATGATAACGTAGATACAGCCCAACTTGGTTATGTGGATAGAATAAAATTCTATTCTTGTGCAGTCGGTAGGATATTCATTTTACTTTGCATTACTTTTCTTAAGTTGAGATAAAAAAAACAACATTTTAAGTGGAATTACACATACAAATCTCATAAATTGATCACTTCTTTATTCAAGTCTAATAGTTTGATATTTGCAAAATCGAATAAATATCACTGAGTTTTGTATAATTGTATGGTAATGCTATTATCTCACAGGAAAAAGACCCGGTAGCGAAGACATTGTACAGTACATCGATGTTGGAAACACACAACATGCGGTGATAAGGAGTTTTACTGTTATAGATGGAAATGTTATATATGCTTCAGTCAAAGGTAATCTTATATCTCAGTCATGATAATATCAACATTCTACTACCGCAATGTGTTTTATATTTTCTTAAATTTAATAATTTCATATATTTTCCCATATACAAAATAGTAACTCAAAACACTTGTTAATTTATAGCAACGGACCATGCTGGACTTTCACGTGTCGTATATTCAAACGAGATGACTGTCGACAGTTCGCCACCTGTGTCGGGCAAAATCAGTATAAATGCAGACTCTGAGTACATCAGTTCAAAATCGGTTGAAATAGGTCTCACTGGTTTCTCTGACGATCAAAGCGGTATAGAATATTTTGAAGTCGCATTTGGGTCAGATGAATACTTAGAAGATGTTCAAACAGGATCAAAGTTTTTATCAGACAATATCGAAGTAGACTTACCGGAAAACATGCATGACGGACATAAGTATTTCATTAAAGCAAAGGTAATCTGTACTTGAATACAAAAATAATAATGAAAATAATTATTTTTACACACGTAAAATGATAGCTTAACTCTCAAATACTTACCTTATATTATCTTTGTAAAGTATTTGTTTTTACATTAATTAAAAAAAATAATTGGCTTATTTCAATATTTCAATATGATTTTGTGAATGTTTCAAAAAAGCACTCAAATAAAAATTCATATATAGTAATTGCATGCATTTATTTTATAATACAGGCCACGAATAGAGCAGGGTTATCGTCAACATCCGTTTCAGTGGTGATAATTCCTGATCGATCCGCTCCTACAGGGGGAGTCGTTATTGACGGAGACGGAGACAGGCTGTTCTACGTAAGTCTTTCTTCTATTCAATTTTTTATTTACTTTTTCTTATTTGTGAAATATAGAGGATATTAAATGAGTGTAGATGTAATAGTGAATTTATTGAACGAGCTGAATAAAATCATAATATTGAATCTACACGAATGTAATATTCTAGTTACCACAAATCCAAAATATGAACGGTTTACAGTTAAAAATGTTATTTTTATCGTATTATCCTTACATTTAGAAAAAAATTGGAGGCCATTGTACTTTCTTGTGATAGCAAGAAAACACTAATTATCTTGCTAAATATTTACTTGAATCCCGAGTAGGGAATAGTTTTTCGCTGAGCATGCGATCAATTCCAATCAACTAGTTTAAACCATCATACCTTCCTTCAAAAAATGAAGACATATAAAACATGTATAAACATAGATAAAATGTACATTTTGTAAATCGTTTTACAATTCTTAAGCGTCACTGACCTTTAAGATTATTATTGTGCACGTATTTTCAAGGCTTTTTTGTTTGTTTGATTAATGAGTCAGTCGTGACTTTTTATTCTGAATTTATCAAATGATAAAGTACTCGGTTTAGCCTTATATATGATCACGTTAATCAAACTAGTTTAAAAAAAATAAATATGAAACTTTTTAGAAGTTGTTTAAAATGTTTGACTTCACAAATGCAATGAACCATACTATTGGTAATAAAAACTTTTATAATGAACAAGCGTGCTATTATGCGTGTAGAAATATTATGTTTTAGAAAGACCGAGATTTTCAAAAGGAACTAGGATATATTCAAGGTCACTGGAAAGGTTTCAACGACCCACATAGTGGTGTTAACTTTTATAGAGTTGGTCTTGGTACCAAACGATACCAGGATGATGTTGAAGAAATGATGGACGTCGGTCTTCACACAGGTTTGAAATAGTTGTGTTTAAGTTTGTTCCTGACTGTAGAAACCTATGCAACAAAAACACGGGTGGTATATGTTAGGGTAAGCTGTTTATTCCAGGTCACGTCGTATGAAGTGTATTTAGTTTTACGTAACAGTCATTTGTTGAACTTAAATGGACGTCGGTGACCAATTTTAGATTGCTAACTTCAAATCACATGCCCCTCGTCGCAAAGGTTTTAAATCCCATTTGAGACTTTGAATGCTTTCATGCCTGGATTATGTCAGAGTTTTCGTAACAAAGTAAAGCAACCCCCGAATAATTATGATCCCCGGTCTATATCTTTGAAAGAAGATGATTGACGCCTTGGTTTATTTGCCCCGTCACAGGGGTCATTTGATTTATATAGATTTATAATTTATATAGATTTATATTGAAAAAATATATATCTGATACTTATTATGTGAAACTATGATACCCTGACCTTAGATATTTGGCATGTAACATAACTTTGTGGACCACAAAATGACTAATAGACCCTTGGGTCAATATAAGTCACTTAGGTAATATTGTTTTGCATAGAAAAACACATTTAAGTCTTATTTTGGTTAAATGCAATGCCAAGAGTTTAGTAATTTGACATAAAGCATTGCCAGGTAGTGTTGGCCTATACAAAACTGGAATGAATCATGACTCTTGGGTCAATATTGGCCCTTTCCCTGGGGTCATTTAATTGATATCGTCTCGTTTAGAAAAAAAATACATTTCATAGTTATTTGTAAAACATCAAAGCTAAGAGCTAAGATATTTAGCATACTGCATAAATGTGTGAACTTCTGCAAAAACTGATATTAATCATGCCAATAAGGTTAAATATTGGTCCGCCAAGGGTAACTTTGTTTATTTAAACTTAAATAGCAAAACAACTTAAGTCTTATTGTGTGAATCTACATAGCCCTGAAATTAGATATTTGGCATATAGCATAAATGTGTAAATTTTTACAAACGTTGTATTTATCATGACCCTCAGGTCAAAATTGGTCCGGCGTCGGATGTCACTTGCCTTAAGTAGACTAAGATATTGGAAAACACATCTATATTTTGATTGATAAATACTATGCTCTTTTATTTGGCTGCATATAGCATTTTCTAGTAGACCTCTATAAAAGTTGTTTGTTTAAATTACTAGAAAAGAAGGAAAACAAAATGACTTCTTGTTGTTAATTTGTAAAACTTCTCATTCAACCTGTGCAACAAAACAGGTCATATGTTTTGTATGATAAAATTTATAAAATTAGAGTTTAATAATACACATGAGAAGAGGGGCCTTATATCTGAATCCATAAAAATATTTCTAGAGAAGCCGTGGATGTTTATGTTTGCATATATTTCTGAAGAAAAAAAATACTTATAAGACTAGGACGCAGGTCGATGGAAAGGTCATTGCCACAAAAAATAAAAGAAAATGCACGACTAATTTTAGGACAAGAGCGGCTTCCAGTTTCTAGAAGTTACTAATCACTTTGAGATCGGTTAGATAGAATCTGTTTTGTTCAGGTTTTCTTTTTTTCTTCAGAGGGTGTATGTAATAGAAAAAGTGTCACTTTTTCTTTAGAATAGTGACCGGGGTCAAACGAGTCTAGCCTACATCTTTTTTTTATTCCCCCCACAGAGTGGGAGCATATAGCGTTGCACTTGTCCGTCCGAGTGTCCGTCCTAACGTCTGTCCGTCCGTCCGTCCATACGTCCCGAAATCTTGTGAACGCAACTCCTCTTAAACCGGATGGCAGATTTTGCTTAAACTTCCAGGGATGAACAACCTTAATGTGTAGATGGTAGATAAGGGAGGAATTTTTGCTGCGACCAAATTTAACAGAAGTATGGCCCTTTGTTGATTTTTTCACTATATACTATGTAGAAATTTTGTGAACGCAACTCCTCTTAAACCGGATGGCAGATTTTGCTTAAACTTCCAGGGATGCATAACATTAATGTGTAGATGGTAGTAAAGGAAGGAATTTTTGCTGCGACCAAATTTAACAGAATTATTGGCCCCTTTGTTGATTTTTAGTTTTCAACTTGTGGCACATGTAGTCCAAAAAATATTTGACCTAGAGTCATAAGATTGACAGAACAGTGGCGTGTGGGGGCATCCGTGTCCTATGGACACATTTCTAGTTTTAATTCCGTGTTTGACGTTTTAAGGAATATTTTTAACTATAATAATGAAGAAATATAAAGTTTTTTCTTCCAAATATTTTTTTTTCGGTGATTTTTTTAAATTGTTAAAATGCATTTTATTTGTTAGATATTATATGGAATGGTACATACGAAGTTGGGAAAAAGTATTTTCTTACGGTAGAAGCATGCAATGGTGCAAAACTGTGTCAGTCAGTCTCGTCAGATGGTATTTTACTGGATAACTCACCTCCTATACATGGTATTGTCAAAGTTGGCAACGGGATACAGCATCAAAAATACGTTCCGACAGGGTAACGATCCTAAAAATAGTTTAAATGAAACAATAACGCTTCTTATGAATTACCTAATTTTTATTGTTTCCTTAAAACATATACTGATTTTAAAGTATTTTTACACGAATACGAATGACATTTAAAATAAAATCCTAATTTTCTAGGAATGTATAACAACAAATAAACTATAATTACATGTAGCTACTATGCATTACTGTTGAAGTCTGAATAAAGGATACATAAGGGCCTAAATATAAGCATGCAAAAAAACACTGTCACACAAATAAAACATGAAACATTATAAATATTCTGCCCTGTTTGGCGAACTGGACGATCGGTTGTTTTTTTTAAAAAAAGATTAGACCTCTGCATTACAAGTTTTAGAAGGTACATAATACTTTTAGTAAATTGTCATATTTTTTTAAAATCTATTTAGAACTCTTTTGCAGAAAATCCGTGCATATCCGATGGGTTGGTTATGAAGACCCACAGTCAGGTATAGATCATTATGAGTATTGCCTAGGAACTAAGCCTTTATTATGCGATGCGTTATCATTTCAACCTTGCTTACTCGAGTCTAGCATTATTAAGACTGGATTAAATCTAACACATGGCGACTCATATTATGCATCTGTGAAAGCTTTTAACAGAGTTGGATTGAGCGTTACAACCGTCTCAGATTCCTTTACAATTGATAATACACCGCCTGTGATAATAGAAAAACCGACATTTAATACCGATGGCATGGCAGGATTAGAGGCCCAATGGGATAGATCTGTGTTAAAAATTACCTGGAAATTTATTGATGATGAAAGTAAAATTGCCTTTCACATAATCACATTGAAAACTCATCACGAAGGACATACACCTGTAGAGCATATGCATTTAGGTAATGTTGATTCATTGACAATAGGTCTTAATGAGACAAATTGGCTTCATAACGGAGATAAGTATTTCGTTCTCATTACAAGCTGTAACTCTGCTGAACTTTGCACGACAAGCCAATCAGAAAATCTACTTATAGATTCTTCTCCACCTCACCAAGGAGGTTTCAAGCCACCAATGACATGGCGTAATTTTATTGATGCATCAAGTCAGGCCAGATCTAAAATTATGATAACATGGTATGGCTTTGTTGATGCAGAATCAGCTATAGATGCGTATTACTTAACGGTTAGTCGAAGTTATAGTGGGGATGAGCTTTCCGGTGGAACTATAGCTAGAGATGCAAAAAATGATTTAGATGTAAAGAATACTACAATCGTTCTCAGCGATTCGCTTAGAGAAGACGAGTCCTTGATACTTACTATATGGGCGAGGAATAAAGCTGGTCTGAATAGTTCTGTTGCAAGAATTACTGTTAGTGTACTAGTGTCAAACAAAGGAATTTCTAAAAACATGTCCGGTGTGTTAGAAATTCAAAAACATTCGTGCGACATACACTACTGTAACAAAGATTGCACATGCGCAGTTCTTGGCAGCCCGTGCGTAGATGTTCAAATTAATCAAAAATGTACAAATCTGAACAAAACTGACGTGATAAGTTTTAATTATCCAGAGATAGATGTCTTTGGTGGACTTAACAGTAACCGTCGGGACATTACGGAGTCATCAGCTTGCCTGTCTGCTCATTGGATACCACAGGGTGACGATAGTATGATTCAAAGATACGAGTGGAGCATGGGTATCATGAATGAACCTGTTGGTGTAGGAATATTAGACTTAAAATCTGAGACACCGTGGAAAGATGTTGGAAAACAGGTAGAAACAGTTTACTGTGTATCCACAAGCTCGGGTCTTCAGCATGACATTGACTACCAAGTTTATGTCAGGGCTTGGTATACTTGGAATACATTTGCGGTTTTTGTTTCTCCACCGATCCGCATTGACCACACACCGCCCCACCATGCAAAAGGGAAGAATATCAAAGATTCAGATGGAACATGTTTATTTGATTTTGATGTAATTGACTGGATGGATTCAATGACTGCTTGTTGGGATAAAGTTTTTGCCGATTCACAGGGGAAAATAATCTATTATACAGTTTCATTGGGAACCACAATAAACGGTTTGTATAAATAATAATTATTTGTTTAAATATTTTTGATGTGCCATCCAACATTATAGTAAAAGTGATATTTTTGATGACAAATACTTCATCATTAAGCAAATGTTATACAGTAATCTTTAAAAAAAATGTAAAGAATAAAATATGTACGAGAACGTTCGAAACATGTCTTTTCGGTAAGTTTATCAACGTAACGCGTCTCAAGTATTTTCCGATTGTTTAATTCAGCGTACATACTTTAACTATTATTTTGAAATATTTTGGAAATGTTTTAGGGAGCGACATATACGAAGTGAAAAATGTTGGACTTGCAACCAATATTACAGTATCGAATCCAAAGCTTTCTCATGGAACCCATTACTACTTTACCGTCACAGCTTACAACAGCGTTGGTTTGCATACAACATTATGTTCGGATGGATTCCTCATAGATATGGATACACCAGTTACAGGTGTAGTCTTCAACACAGACAATCATTTAGATTCTGTTTTCCAATCATCAAAAACATCTTTTGGTATATCTTGGCACGGTTTTGTTGATCGTCAGTCTGGCGTTCAGTCCTATTTTGTTGCAGTTGTTGACAATTCTGTTACTAATTACACAAATGTAACATTTTTAGATGTTAAACTGAAAAATAAGCATGTCTTTCACGATATTGATCTTCAACACGGAAAGTTATATAAGGGCCTTGTAAAGGCTGTAGATAAGGCAGGACATTCAACAGATGCGGTATCTTCAAAACCAAAATTAATTGATGAAACGGCGCCAAGATCATTCGAATGTGACCAATATCAAAACCAAAGAATTTTACTACATGAGAAAATACCATCTACAAACGGTACAATATCGTTCAGCGGAAATATGAGCAGCAATAGAAATTACATTTTGAAAGGAATTCTAACAGGTTCTTCAAGATCAATTAAACCAATAATATCATTTGGAAGAAATCTCATTAAGTTGCCAGTAACTATAAATAACAATAACACGGTTGAATTCCAACATGACTTTATATCAAATTATTTTGGGATTGTTCTATTTGAAATATCTGGACTTGAAGCCTTGGCATCGGAAACCAACTTCTCGATTGATATTAAATTGTCCAAGTGTATCTTAGATAAAAGGGGGAACGGTAAAGGGTTAACAGTCAGGCAAATTGGTTCATCAAAATTATTGGTGGACATAAAGATTTTAGATGAAGACAGTTCACTTTACAAGGTATCTGTTAATATGTTTAATATTCAAAAATATGACATTCGATTCTTTGATGAAAAGGTTATCATATAAGGCGAAATTTATATACAAATGAGTAAGATTTTTAGTTTGTATTTATGCGAGGATTGCAAACTGTAGTTTTGTAAGAATTTTAAAATATCTAAAAAAAGGAAAGAAAAGATTCAATTCATTTATATAGCTTTTATTAAGTGTCACCAATACTGAAATGGCCATATCACAACTTTCTAGATTTATTTGCGGAGGAAGATCTCGTAACGGAGTAAAATCACCGACGTTTGTTAAGGTAACTGGATATTTCTTTCAAATAAAAGAATCCATAATCGCTAGCAGGTTTCGAACCCATGAGATTAGGGAGAAGTTGTTTGAAAACAACAAAACAACGACTATAAAAACTCCCCCCGTATGCATTTATCATTCATTATCTAAATATTACAATCACATTAATGATAGCGATTGCAGCATTTTAGATATTATTATGGTGTACGGTTTGTTATTATAAAATCATACCTACTATTTTAAGGTTCAGTTAGGACTCGGAACCTCTCCAGGTGGTTTTCAGATAAAACCATTAACAGTTGTACATGTGGATTCAAGCAGATATGTCGACGTGGACGTTCAGAATGGCGCTAAAATATATGGTACTGTACTGGCAGAAAACCATGCTGGATTAAAATCAGTTTTTAAGTCAGCACCGATAACAATGGATAAAACACCGCCTTTGATATCACAAATCCAACATGAATTGACAGCTAATTCTCTTAAAGTCAGTCAATCAAATACAACGTTTCGACTTCAAGTAAAATGGGATGTCACAGACAAAGAAAGTGGTGTGAAATACTGCCTTTGTCGTATAGGTAATATTTTTGGTAACAGCAGATTTAAACCAGTGGAAAATTAATTAAAATAGGATTTAATAAACTGAAATGCATCGCCTAGACCTAATTTTAAATTATATAATGAATTGTTCATGTGCGTGTTAATTTGTATCTATGATCTATTTGTAGATTAAGGATTCTTGGATGAAATGAATCTATTGAAATTGGCTTTGATAAAAATTGTTTTTATCCATTTTTATTCAGGAAAACACCTCGACTTTGAATATGTTGAAGGATACAGATTATCTGATACAAGCGAAACTTGTCTATTCAATGGGTTAAACTTAGAACATGGCGACCTTATCTTTGTGCATGTAAAATGTATTAACAACGTTGAACTGGCTACTGAAAAGGTTTCCAAAACAATACCGGTGTCAATTGATGCTCCTGACAGCAGTCTTGCTGCTGTTAATTTTATTTCTACGGACAAAAGCGTTCACGATGGATATCGTGGAAACAACAACACGACGGCTATTTCCGGCAACATACCATTCATACAGACTGACCGTTCCCGTCTTAAATTCGAATGGATAGGATTTGAGGACATGACAGGCATCGATTATTATGAATATCGACTTGTATGTCAGAATGATACTATTCTTGACTGGAAACGTAATGGGAAACATACAGTTGCAGAATTAAACGGTGTTGATCTACATTCTGGAATGATGTACACAGCCGAAGTAAGGGCTATCAATTATGCCCTACATGCAAGTAACCCTGTCATCTCACATGTGGTCGTTCATAACGAAGAACCTAAGCTTACAGGTATGTTCTAGAACTCATATACGGAACTGGTGATTATAACAAAATATATACTACAATAGTTCAAACATGTATACTTTAATTTTCTCGCTTGTAAAGTCGAAAACTTAAAACGCTAAAAACTAAATCCGTATTTGAAATACACAAACTGTTTATTTTCAGGTAAACCTTTGTCAGTTACCAGAAGAAACCAATTTGTTGTTTTCGACTGGAATGGTGTGTTTAAATTAGTTGACGATATCTCTGTAACATACGATGTCACTGTAGGAACAAAATCTGGCTATTCAGATATCCTTGAATTGAAGAGTACCAAACTGAATAAATATGAAGTCATTGTTCCGCAGTCAACAATTATTGCTCCTGACATTCGGGAACTTTTCATCTCCGTCCGGTGCTTATATTCGACAGGGTTATTTACCCTTTACCACTATAACTATAAACTGTAAGTTAAATGGAAACAATTAGAAACAAAACGCGTTCAATCCATACGTTAATAATACTTTTAAAAAATCTTAACATTATAAGCATGTTTGTAAATAGTTTCCGACTGGTTGTTTGAATTTATGTATAAATGGTCTGTAAAATACTGTGCAGTTCTTAAATGTCCTTTTTCAAATCACATACCTTACTTAGGGTAAAAAATATGTCATATTAATGCGCTGTATTTTCAACATAATTTTGGAATATTTTTAATGATTAATATAATAAACTGTATTAGTGGTTAATTTTGCGACGTGGAAATATTTGCGATTTTTGCGATTAAAAAGTATTCGCAAATATTTGATCACGCAAACATTATTTCTTTTTTAAGCAAACCTTCTTCTCTCATTTGATAACACTTTTTCATACAGCATCTTACATGAATAAGTTTGACTGGTACTGAGGTTTATTTTTCTCATTGCTTGTTTGTTTAAGTTTGGTATTAACATATCCCAAATGTTTTAATGAAACAATATATGTGTTAATATCCCAATAAGTTATTCATATAACAAAAGAATATTTCAAAATTTCATACAGCATCTTACATGAATAAGTTTGACTGTTCAGGTACTGAGGTTAATTTTTCTCATTGCTTGTTTGCTTAAGTTTGGTATTAACATATTCCAAATGTTTTAATGAAACAATATATGTGTTAATATCACAATAAGTTATTCATATAACAAAAGAATATTTCAAAATCTGACAAAGAAATGTGTGAACACATTGAACAGGTCCTTTATCAAACAAATAATGTATATTATAAACAAATAAATAAATAATAAAGGTATTTAACAAGTGAATAGAGCGATAACGGCATATTTTTCATGTATCTGCTTTATTAATGATATCTCAAAAACTGAATAAAATTCAAGAAATCATATTTTCGCAAATATTTCCGCACGCAAAAAGTCCACTTTTTGAAATTCGCAAAATTTTTGTGACGCATAAATATCCAATTTATACAGTATTGTAAACAATTTAATTCAACACAGTTTTTATAAGAAACTTCATGCCGTAAAAAACAGTCATCAATAACTTAAAGATATGCAAACATAGTTCTTGTATTCTTTGAAAACGGATGGAAATAGTGTAATATATTCAGACATAGTTTTGTGAACATTTGAATGCGTTCGCATTTATTAAAGTATGTCTTCTTTAAAATATATTCGTTAATCATGACCTGAGGCGTGTAATTTTAATAGTGATAATGATTGATAAAGGATAGATGGTGTTTATTATAAGAATGTCAATATGCATATAGCTCATATAAAAGTTTTCTTTTCCGTCCAATAACAGTAATTTTTAATTTCCCAGTGTTTGTTTTTATGATTATTTAAGCCACTTATAATAATAATTGTATTTCTGGAAGACAATCAATTTGATACTGAATTTTTTGACTCTTAATAGTTGTTTTCTTCTTCTTTGTTTTCATTCTTATCTCAATTGGTGTTCTGTTAGATTCAATCCGTCCACATATATATTTTCATTTTTATTGCGTGTGTGTCACATATCGAAAACACTTACAGCAATAGTTTGTTTTACTGTAATATCTACTGTATATGTATATGCCTTTTGATAGGTATTTCAAATGACATTTTTTTGTAACATTCGTGAGGTTTCGTGATATATACCTTCCAGTTAGGTATTAAAATGGTCAAGGAGGAGTGCTAGAGCCTACCTGTTTTAATGCTGTGTGTACATGCATAGTATATATAATGTGCAAAGGAATTTGTATATTTGTATTATTAATGTAAATATAATCAGAGAGCAATTTAAAACAGTTTCGTTTTTACTTTTTTTAGTTCCATTATTCTGAGCCGTTTCTACCCACTCGGTCACACTTAAGAGACCTTGAATTTGTAAGTGTAAGTCTTAGACGAAGACGTGTGTTTCTATGGCCATTATGTTGTTTTCATTTTATTCCTGTACATAGTTTGATTGCTATACGACATTTATCGTATGTACATATACGGCCAAAAAGGTATAAGAGAGTTGTACAACAGAAACTCAATATCAGTAACAATAACACACTTTAAAAAAACTATTAAATAATTTCATGCAAGTCCATTTTAATTCATTTTAATAAAGACACATCTAAAACAAAACATGATATTATTTTATATAAACCGCTCTAGAAACAATTGATAAATAACTCTTAAACAGGCGATTGGTAAACTTTGTGTATTTTTCGCCCTGTGTCCACTCACTGTGTTTTGCTTTCTGGGTGCCCTGCTGTTGTGGCTTGGGTGTTTCGGGGGCTGCGTCCTGTGAACATTGCCTTTGCCTTGTTGATCTTTATTCTTGTTTTTTTGTGTGCAAGAGACAGTTATTTATATTATACCACAGCAATTGAAAATCTACTTTGCATTCTATGAAAATGAACTGTTTCTCATTCCAGTTTATAACGCATGTAAATGTTAGAAAAAGTTGAAATAACGTAAGTATATCTATAGCACAAATGAATCAGTCGTTGACTTTATAACTTTAAATATAAATATATAACTAATAAAGAAAACTGCAAAAGCTGTCATAAAATATTAAGTAGTTTACTGTTTTGTGCCATGTTTTAACTGAAAATACACTATTGAAGAAAGAAGTCATAACCTGTTGAATATTCTACAAAGAAAAAAGGCATTTCATATTTCTCCTAAGCAAATGTGTCTATAACCTCTGATCCCCTTTCAAAATTCCTTTTTATTTAGTTCCGCTCATTGTTTTCTCGTTTAGGGCACACGCTTTTTATTACTTGGGGACCATACGCCGCTTTTCATGGAATGGCACGGAAGTGTCACATTGAAGGTTCCATGATAACCGCCGTATGAACACATCTGCGGATGTTTCTAAATTCAAAATTTTACTATTTCATGTTTAAATGTTGAATTCTGCTTAAGCCGGTGCTAGGGGGCCTGGACGGTAACTTGCACTTTCCAGTACCGTCCATGAACAGGCTCAATCAAACCGAGCCTGCAACATTTTCAATTTTGCCGTGTTGGGCTTTCTTTAGGGATTCTGTATTTATCTATTTTGTGACTTTCTGAAGTCATTTGTCGTTACATGACACCAGTACTGCTTATTCCAGGAAGCGAGAGAGATTGATTTAAATTTGGTTTATGTTTAAATCAAACAAAACCAGATATTGTGTAGAGGACAGCCAACAGTAGTGATGATAATTATGTTTAGTCCTGCTTACACACAATATATCAACATTTATAACTTGGAAAAAATTGCATCTTGGTCATTGATTGATAATTTAGCTCTACAATAGAGTACATGTATATGAATTGAAAAGCTTATATTGTTTTTCAGTCTTTCTATAAAGTATGGTTATATCGTCTTCATCTGTAATATGTTGATGGATAATAGAAATACTACAACAAGCAAATACATGACAAAAACCGTTTTATACAGTTTTAGCGTCTTATTTTTCCACATAGTTATGTTTTGAGAAAATCCCCAAATTTATTCCGTATTACGAAGTTTGTTTACGAAGTCCGTTAAGGAAAGAAACGTGTATTAAGAGTTTTTCCATCAATTATTAGAACAGTTTTGATGTTGAGTGTATTGCTTGTATTGTGTGGATACAGGATTATTACTGTACGGGTATTACATCTCCTTTCAATTTCTTCTATTTTGAAGACAAAATTAATCATTTAATTGGATTATTAAAGATTGGAGTTATCTGAACTACATGTCTTACATTGGTTCTTCTTTAATTTGTAGTTGGCACTTTACAAATATTATGTTACGCAATTCCAACACAATGTAACCATTCATTGCAATACAAAATCGCAGTAACACAACAAGCCCTAACAGTATTATAATTATATATTTTCTACTAGCATGAAATATATGTATATGGTGTTATACAAATATTAAAATCTCCAAAATATCAGCAATCCAATCTATCATTAGATATGTCTATGGAAATAGTCCATAAATTATATCGTTCCTTAACAAATCATATGCACATGAAATACATATTTAAATGTATTAAAAACATATTGTAATTGCCTTTAATGACCACTTAAGTATTTATTAATAAATCAATATACAATGCATTGTATATGCTTATCTTTAAATATAATGTAGCTCCAAAACATTCAAACAATGACATATAAACCTAATATAACAATTGAACCGATTGTGGAACTGATTTTCTGTAACACTTTGGTGTTAATTTTCTGTTCTCTATTTACTGTAAAATAGAAACATCTGTGCATAACAAATAGAAACAGTGATTTCTAGGAATTCGTGTAGGATAAGAAATTATGCTGCAATCTTGTTTCTAACACTCAAGAATGATACAAATTTATCTAAATAACCTTTAATCATCCGCAACTGTTTTTATTATAATAATTATGGCCTAATTTAGTCGAAATTGTTACTTATAAGAACAAATGAATAATACATACCAATACTTATTCATCAATCCTTCTTAGTTAGTTATAATACATCTACTTTATACACAAAGATATGACCTCAGAATGGCCCTAACCTTGAAGCTGATTGTTTAAAGGGACATAATTATACAATGTTGGGACTTAAATCAAACATGGACGACAAAGTAATCTTTCTTGAAAAAATAAGAATAAACACAAAATTATCACATATATTAGATCAAAAAGTATTACCTATTCTCCGAAATTATAGCTAAAATATCAATTTTATCATGAAGAATTGTTTTAATGTTCTACAATAATATGGAAACATTACCCTGAGAAAAAAATTGCCCGATTTTCGGATCCTATAAAACTTACAGCAAGATTATCTAGCAAGTCTCTAGTAATGCCCCTGCGACAAATATTTGGATAGTATTTGCCAGACATGAAATTAATTTGTTTCATATATAGTACAACATTTTCCCCTAAAAGTATTAAAAACAAAGCTATGTAATTTGTATACTATTGTAATAGACAGTATGCATCACTTTTTAACAACAATTATATATGCCGTCGATATATGTAAAAAAGTGGCATTGTTAAACGGCAGAATAACCCATTGTTCTTGTTCAAATTAGGCATATCGAGTAAGAATATTCTACATTTCAAATCAATTTCTGCAATAAAAGTATTTTACCTATAGCTGAGTAGACTATATCTTTAAACTTAAAAAGGATCAAATATAGGATATTGAATGAATGTAAGTTTTATACTGAATTTATTGAACGAGTTTACTAAATTATTTTCTGCCGGGCTTTGGCGAGCGTAATACTATTTTATATTATAAAACGAGTTAGAATTCAGTAATCAACTCAAACGAATTTAGTACTCTAGTTATCACATACCAAATATAATGACCGTTTGAAGGGAAAATAAAACATTTTCATTGCCGCGTCTATAGTTTAGCGCTAACATTTAGAGCGTCTTAACGTTTATGCAACGCAAATAACATCAAAACGTCACGCCAAAAAATATGTACGGCCGGGAAAAACATTTTTATCGGAATTGCAAAATCGGCATGGGTATGTGATAAATTTCTTTAATAGAATGCTCTTAATTAAAGTATTGTGATCAAACATTTATGACCCAAAATTGCAACAAGTTTAAAGGGCTAAAACCTCAAAAACGAAAACTACAGCATTGATGCTTTTATAAGTGTTGTTGTTGCTGTATTTTGTAATTTTAACTGTATCGAAAAAATAACCAAATACTGTTTGAGTGTCCGGTCAACAAATAAAATGAGCGTATATGGACATTCCATTAATTATAATATAAAGATAACGATGTTTAATCTATTAGAACTCTAGTTTCAAGTGGTGAACTTGTCATGAAAATATATATTGCAAAATATCACGTCGTCTGAATTGCGGTTAAGATCAATACTTTTGCCCCAGTTTTTCATAAATGAACATAAAACGGCCGATCCCTCCATCAATCAACGTTTTGAAAAAAAACTTATCAAATATTGTGTAGGTTAAGTTTATTAAATTCTGGAAACAAAGTGATCCCTCGGAAGCATTAATCACAACAAAATAACATAAGAATTGCAGACTCGGTTTGATTGAGTCTGTACATGAGAGATAATGAATAAGTGCAACATCCCTCACGCCCCCTAGCACCGGCTTGAGCGATACTCAATTCTCAACACTTAAAAGTGCTGGACTCAATGATCCCGAAGGACCAGAACAATATAACAACAATGAAGTGAAGTACGGGGCAACTTTTTACGGCTGCCACACAGCACTTGACACCTGCTGTTGTGAAGTACAAAATTCTGGAAACAAAAGTTATCCCTCGGAAGCATTAGTATCAAAATGACATAAGAATCGCAGACTCGGTTTGATTGAGTCTGTACATGAGGAATAATGAATTAGTGCAACACCCCTCACGCTCCCTAGCACCGGCTTGAGCGATACTCAATTCTCAACACTTAATATTGCTGGCATCAATGATCCCGAAGAACCAGAAAAATATAACAACACTGAAGTGAAGTACTGGGCATCTTTTTACAGCTGCCACACGGCACTTGACACCTGCTGTTGTGAAGTATAAAAGTCTGGAAACAAAGTGATCCCTCGGAAGCATTAATAACAACAACATTACATAAGAATTGCAGACTCGGTTTGATTGAGTCTGTACATGAGAGATAATGAATAAGTGCAACATCCCTCACGCCCCCTAGCACCGGCTTGAGCGGTACTCAATTCTCAACACTTTATAGTGCTGGCATCAATGATCCCGAAGGACCAGAAAATATAACAACACTGAAGTGAAGTACGGGGCAACTTTTTACGGCTGCCACACAGCACTTGACACCTGCTGTTGTGAAGTACAAAATT